TAGAATCAGATGGAACGCAATCCCAATAATCTAACACAAGTTTGGGGCGTTTTTCTGTATTTCCTCCATCAACAAAGCCCTTCAAAAATAGTAAACTCTATAAACGAACATGAACCCATAATCATTTCTCTGCGTGTCTTTAACTCTTTACCAGGAAATCATCCCTTATCTCTTCTTCTGAATAATTAGAAAAGCACACAATGTGGAATGATCTGCATAGCATAGTATTAAAAAGCAGGCCATCGCACAACGGGAATTGTTCAAATGCTGTAACAATAAGCACATTTACTTTGTACAAATCATTGAGGATTATTGAATGAGATGAGGGATAGTGTGTCTTGTACGGTAGGCAGCAGTAACCAGTCAAGAAGCATTTTTCATTATTCTCAATGGTCCCAATGATGCTTTTTGGTTTCACTGGTTTACTGCACACTATCATTGCTCTTTTCGGGGTTTTACAAAGTAAGCCTCAGGAAGCTGTTCTGCACACAGTGCAGTGGGTAAATTATAGCCAAGTTGCTAATTAAATCATGCAGAAATTAGATTATGAACTATTTGGAGTAATGCCATTCTTATTTAATATAATAGATGTATGATAGATAATTGTTTACGCATATCTCCCAGCAAAAAATAAATAAAAACTCCCCTTGCAGTAGAGCCACCCTCGAACTGGAACTGCAAGGGTTAACTGCTCAGGTAAGTATTTCATATTTGGCCACTTTTTTTATATTGTGGCATATATCTACTGCTTGCTTGCAGTAGATATATGCAAAAAAAAATTATATGAGACTTTAATTCTACTTTAATACCATGCTGAAAGAAGCTAGCATGTAAGCCACTCTGGGCCACTAACTACAGTTCAGCTTTCATCTGTGCTAGGGATGTTCAGGTACCAGTTCAGATACCAGTGCCGATAATTGGCATTTTCACAAGAACTACCAGGGTTGTAGCTGGGATATGGCTCTGGTGCTCCACCACTGTCTTGAAATCGTTAGTTTGTATTGATTTAGAAAAACTGTTACATGACACTAAACAAAAATGTATCAGTACTTGTATCTGTGAGTACTTGGACAAGTATCAGTACTTGTACTTGAAAAAATGGTATATGTGCATCCCTTATATATATATTTATAAATCATACATAAAAACAGAGATGTACAAATCCCAAGAGCTCTGTGTGCTCCTTAATAATGACAGCTGCCTCCTAACTTTTGAATTTTTCTCTAGTCTAGTCTTGGAGCTGGAAAAGTATCAGTACTTGTACTTGTACAGAGCACGGTACTTGGTATCTGAACCGCCATAATTTGTGCTATAACGCTTATATTTAAGTATATTTAAACCCAATCACTAAACTCTCATACATAATATTTCACACAATAATGTAATTTCAAAAGTGATTTTAAATATCTTTAAATTTGCAGCTTTCAGTAAAATAATACCTGGTGATCCTGCCTTGCCCTTGTTCCGGCACTTCCGGTTAAGGGACGATAATGCTCCAGCTTTCTCTCCTAATTGAGCTCCTGTAGCCTGCCACTGCAACTGGCCATTATAACATACATTACGCAGGCATAGGACACTATTGTCACCATCAGATAGCCTGCCCTGAGAAAATCCATGCAGTCATCCATGGAGTGCATGTGGGTAGGAAGTGACTGCAAGGAGGCTTCAGGAGACCAGCTGCATAAGGAGATAAAAACAAATCTGAAAAATAAGTATTTTATCAATTCAACATTATTTTTAAAAATAGGTGATTGTTTTATTACTATGGTGCTTTAGCAAACTAAATGTGATTCAGTTAGTGTTAAGCTGATTCTCATTTTTTATAGGGCTGGCATCTCTTTTTTAGTAAATAAGGCTGGGCTGGTTCACTGGATGCTATGTACCATATGATGTTCAAGAATAAATCAAATAAAACAGCAATGGAATGAGATGAAATGATGGCCCCTGTAGTTTAATCCGTAGGTATATCTTTCAGCCACAAGTGACTCAATGGTTGTCTATCGGCAAGGGGTCTGCTTGGGCTTCCTTTAATGTCAAAGAATCAAAGGCAGAGCTGCTATGGCTGGGGATGAGCCAATCCCAGGCTGGGGTCTTTGATGTATTGTTGAGTTATGTACCAAGGTTTGCCAGTTTCCATTAGCACACAGGCACCTTCACGACGCTCTGAGGCTCTGCCAGATAAGCTTTCTTGGAGATCCAGACATGGAGATGCAGGGCCACCATGTTATGACCACCAAAGAGTCCATGCAATCTGTCCTATGCTATACAGTTATTTAATCAATATACACAACAATGTATCAATGTATATGTGTCTTTATTGAAAGGTATTATTGGGGCTGATTTACCATTAGGCATGGTAGCCATATAGTGCTCAAGATTTGTCCCAAGTGCACCACACTCTTTATCCTTCCTTTCTTTATACAAAGTCCATGCACCAATGTGTGCACATCTGAACACGGAATATATGATCGAACTTTCCAGAGGGATATTATTTAGGATTGATATTTACAAGAAGAGCAATTGTGAACACTTTGATTGCATGTATTGTTTAGCACTTATTTTTTTATAGAGATTTGTTTATTTATTTATTGTTCTAGCTGAAGCGCAGCACATTCATTATTATAATCTGATACATTTGGGTAACACTTCTTATAGTGCTTGCAGCTACACAAGGTTTGGCGCGAGGTGCTATTTGTCACAAGGTAGCCATATACTTCTATAGGTGCCAAAGGCAAAAAGGAGGCCTTTCTTTTATTAGAGACACTTATTTTTCTATCATCAGTAGGCATAGTCATCTCATACCAATTGCTTTTGAAATTGAGGTTTATTTACTAAAAGAGTTAAGCCTGTTCACTTTGCACTATGAATTTTTACTTTGCTATAGTGAATGATGTGAAGCTTTGCGAACTTCAACAACCCAATGGTGTACAATGAAAAATCCTGTTTTTTTTATTTCCCCCTGCACGTGATAGTGTATTCTTTACAAAGGACATTCGCCTTTCCTTCGCCTCATTTAATAAGCTAAGTACAAATTCACTGTGCTAGGTTAACAGTGTTCACTCTATTAGTAAATCAACCCCAGTATCTCAATATTGTAAGTCAAGGGTGGGCAACCTTGGCCCTCCAGCTGTGGTGAAGTTACAAATTCCATGGTGCATTCCAAGACTCTGACAGCCACAGGCATGACTCCCAGAGATAAAGGCATGATGGAATTTGTAGTCTCACCACAGCTGCAATTCCAAGGTTGGCTACTCTAGTTCTAAGTCATGTCAGGACCAGGAAAACAAAAAAGGGTTCTGTATAAAAAGTGAACCTATGTTACTTAGGATGCCAAAAGTTGTATGCCTACAGGCTCCAGGGATGAATATCCATCCCTGGGTGTAATGCAATCATTAAATGTGATTAATATTTTGAAGGGGTATAAGGAGTCCATCAGAGGACCATGTGACACGTTTACAGTGCAATGGAAATCGCCTGTTTAGGAATGTACCTATGCCTGGCTGGGTCCCAAACCCTATGTATGAAAACCATGCCACCATGAAAAGTTCCTTCCCCATAGCAATCAATCAGTGTCCATGAGTTGAACATTAAACTAGATTGAATGCTACAGGTGACAACATATGTTCTTGTTAGCACACTTTTCATATATAATGCCCTTTATTGCCTTTGCAGATAGATGATGTCAGTGCACTGTTCCCTTTAATGATGCTCCTGTGAATTGAGTAATGCTTCTATGTATCTATACAGGATTCTTCCTTTTAAAAATGCTTCCATGACCTCTGGTGAACAGGACTGTAACAACACATAATGGAGCACCATGGCAGTTAGGTTTAGGGCCCCCTCTCGCTTCCATCGCCATTTTAACCACAATGCCTCTATTAAGGCCTGTGACATTCTAAATTATTATCTGGTTGCACTGTAATAGCTTCTGCAGCAAACAGGCGACTAGGTTAAATGCATTTGTTTTATCAAAAAAAACTCTGAATATGCTACTAAACATTCAGGGCCAGACCGCAGTGAGTCCCCTTGCTACTGGGCCCTGTAGCAGTCTTCGACGTCTACACCTATGCCCTTGCTGCAGACAGCAAGGGTCACCAGAACCCCCCAGAGGGTCCTCGTAAATGCCCTGCTGGTTCTCTACCACTAAAGCAGGTAATGTTAAAGCCAAGGCCCCATTAGACTCAACGGCCAACTAAGTGCCCTGCTCTCTGCTCTTGCATACCTTTTGTTTTCCTTCCAACCCAAAGACATGGCCCCGGGGACTTCACCACACAAAGCCCAGGATGATTTACTGACACTGCAATAATTCCAGCACGCTGCACATAGGTGTATCGATTGAGCTTAACCATACCCTTGCAACATCTCTTGCAACACGCCGAGAAGACACGGCGCCGCACCCTTGGTCCGCACGGCTTCCAATAAGCTGTCAAGCAGCCGAAGGCACCGGCGTAGCAAGGGCCAGGGAACACATCCCTGCTTCTATGAATGGACGGTCTGCTGGATGTGAGATAAACAAATGATCCTTCCTGTATCAAGCTCACAAGCCATCCCTTTCCTTCCCTCCCCTCTCTCTGCCGGCATTCCCGCTCTCGCCCTATAGGTGGCTCTGTTCCATGGAACCAAGCACTGGTGACGCCTATGGAGGAGAGCTGGGTTATGGGAGGGCGCAGATGCTGTGATTCTATAGCTCCCATTGATTTACTCTCCTAACGTGAGCCCCAAAGAGGGTGCACAAAAAAAAAATTAAAATCGATGCATTGCTCTGGTACTACAGAAAGCAGCAACAGTAGGGTGGCCTAAGCACACATCCCCCCCTTCCCAACCTTCCTAAAGGATGCTGCTGCAGAAGCTCTTGGCCATCCATTAATGTTAGCAGATACACTTCAGTGATCAGGTGACAGTTCACCCCCCTCCTTCCCCAGCCAAGAGGTTTTGCAGCAGCTGTCCATGGTCCTTACAGTGCATAGGAAGGGGGTCTCATCCTCTATTGTTCTGCTCACCTTCTGCTGCCTCCTCGCCATGTCGGTGGGCTGCTTGGCATTGAAGGGGTAGGCGATACATCTCATGACAAACACATAGAGCTGCAGCTTCCTCTTCCTCTCCTCATCCTCCTTCTGCAGCCTCTCCAGCTCTTCCTTCTCCTTCTCGCTGACCACCGATGGACTGGGGCTGGACGGCCGGACGCTGCTGCTCCTGCTGCTGGGCTGTAGACCCCCGGAGCTCTCGCTGGTCCGGCTGGGGGAGAGCCGGGCCCCGGTGCTGGGAGCCAGCACCTCCTTGCATTCCTCTTCCACTATCTCCTCCGATTCCTCCTCGCTGGAAGACGGGTCCAGCATCTTTGCTCTCGCTGTGTGGCTGTCCGCAGGGGGACGACGACCTGGACGGGGGTACCCTGGGATGGGGAGGGGGAAGGTCTGCTGGTGCACCCTACTTTAATCCCGGGCAGGAAGGCAGCAGCGAGCTCCGGATCAGGCAGGACCTGATGGTGCAGCTAAGTGCAGACTAGGCATTGGCGGTGCTTACGTGTTTAACTCTCTCCTCCCCTGCACTCTTACTGGAGAAAGGCAAGCGGAGAGAGACAAAATACTGCCGATGGGGGCCGTCCCATTGATCATTTGTGCCTGTAATCTGCTAATGTGCCGCGGCAGATGGTGCCTGCTCTTTGTCTGCGGGCCAATAAATCCCGAGAGCGCAGGAGGATGACCAGAGGGCGATGGGGGGGACTTGGGGTGGCCGCAGAGGGGTGACCTAGCCACGGGGAGGGGGGGTGTCACAGTGCTGGGGGAAGAATAATGCAGCAAAGGGGATGATTACTCAATGATGAGCTGGGGTCTGAGAGAGCTGGGGTTGTCAGAGAAGGGGTTGTGAAAAAAAGTAAGTGGGTGCTGAGTATTGTCAAAGAAGAAAGTGGGTGCAGGCACATATAGGGAATGTTAGAAAAGGAATTGGATGATGGGGGTTATTAGAGAAGGATGTGGCTATAGGGAATGTCAAAGAAGGGGGTGAAAGGGTTGTGAAAAAAGTAAGTGGGTACAGGGGTTGTCAAAGAAGAAAGTGGGTGAAGGCACATATAGGGAATATCAGAGAAGGAAGTGGATGCAGGGGGTTATTAGAGAAGAATGTTGCTATAGGGTATGTCAGAGATTAAGGGGTGCAGGGTTGTGAAAAAAAGTAAGTGGGTGCAGGGGTTGTCAAAGAAGAAAGTGGGTGCAGGCACATATAGGGAATATTAGAAAAGGTAGTGGATGATGGAGGTTATTAGAAAAGAATGTGGCTATAAAGGATGTCAGAGAATAGGGGGTGCAGGGTTTGTAAAAATAAAGAAGTAAGTGGGTGCAGGAAATATTAGATGTAGGGGTTGTTAGAGAAGTGGGTGCAAGGTATGACAAGAAAGATAACCTGGTGTAGGGGCTGTCAAAATATAAATGGGTGTAGAGGTTGTCAAAGAAGTAAGGGGGTGTAGAGGTTGTCAAAGAAGTAAGTGGGTGTAGGGGTTGTCAAAGAAGTGGGTGCAAGGGATGTAGGAAATATTAGATGTGGGGTTTGTTAGAGAAGTTGGTTTAGGGTAGAAAAGAAAGATAACCTGATGTTTGGGTTGCCAATGAAGTAAGTGAGTGTAGGGGTTGTTAATGAAGTAAGTGAGTGTAGGGGTTGTTAATGAAGTAAGTGAGTGTAGGGGTTGTTAATGAAGTAAGTGAGTGTAGGGGTTGTTAATTAAGTAAGTGGGTGTAGGGGTTGTCACTGAATTGAAGGGGGGGAGGGTTTTTCAAAGAAGTAAGTAGGTGTATGGGGTTGTAAAATAAGTAAGTGGGTGCAGGGGATGTAGGAAATATTAGATGTGGGAGTTATTAGAGAAGTGGGTGTAGGGTATGACAGAAAGGTTACCTGGTGTAGGGGATGTCAAAGAAATAACTGGGTACAGAGGTTGTTAAATAAGAAGATGGGTTCAGTGGTTGACAGGAAAGAAAACTGTCAGAGAAGTAACTGGATGCAGAATGTCTTCACCACAGTGCTTGGTGATGACAGTGAAATACATAGGACAAGCCACAGATCTGCACAGGACTATAGAGCAGAAAACGATCAGGCTGGAAGAGGACACGTCATCTGCTCACAGAGAGCTGCAAAGGGGAAAGTGTTCCAGTGAAGTGGACCTGTGTAAAAAAACAAGGCAGCAATACGCTTATGAGGGAGTCAATGAGGGAGTGCAGCAATGACTGCAGTGGGAGCTGTCCAGCACAGCATGAAGCTGCAGGTTGAAGCTCTGGCTGTGTCAATTTGCGGATATTAGAGAAGGTTAGTGATGTAACTAGGTGCAGAGCTGGATTCTGATGGCAATTCTAATAGTCATAGAGAGATACACAGAGCAATCAGCACTAAATTAAAATAATACTAAATTAAAGAGGACCTGTCTAGAAACAGGACAGTAAAAGCCTACACTGGGTCCAGTGTTAAATACAGAGGGGAGCTGTCTAACTTCTGATATGGAGAAGTGCTTATATCTGCCTTATAGGGAGGGGGGTGTCAGACAGGTATGAAGTTGGACGAGAAGAGGCGGTCTGAGGATCATAAAGGTATCCAAAAAGCAATCTATCATGGTTTACTGAAGAGCAGAGGACAGGTAAACAATTGCGCTGACAGCGGTTAGGACTGGAGTTGTTCAGCAAGGAGCTGCAGTGTTTAATAACTTCTAAATCCCTGCTGATAAAAACAAGAGGACTGCAACTGCTGTTGTTGACCACATTTAAAAAAATGCTGGCTGGTATCAGGCATGCTGATCCTCTGACTTCGGTATTGCCTGAAAACTGAGCCAAGTGATGTCAGGACCGGTATAGAACAACTGCATTAGTCAGGCATGGGCAGAAACAGAGCTGTATAGAAGTAGACATATTAGGGACTGGGGTGAAGGGGACCTGTCTACAAATCTGTGTACACAAATCAACAGATTAAACATCTTCATCGCCAGTGCTATATTAAATACTAAATTGCAGTGCAGAAGATTTGCCAAGAGAGATCAGCTAACTGCAAAAATAAAGAAATGAGCTTTAGCATGGTCTGTATATGGACAGACGAAAAAAGTGTCAACTCTACACAATTATGAAGGAATAGTCACCAACTATAGTGTGAGAGGCTGTCCAGCAATGGTCTGCAATGTGTAACTACTCGGGAGGAGGGGGGAGCTGGCTGTATCAACACCATGATATAATATACTAAAATGTAGTGCTGAGCACTTGCCAAGAGACAGATCAGCTAACTGCAGAGGTAAAGAATTTAGGATGAGGAGGACCTTTAAATGGACAGAGGAAGACTGTAACAAGTCTAGACCACCATGAGGAAAGAGGCACACAAGTGTGAGAGGCTGTGCAGCAATGGTCTGCAACATATAACTAATGAGGAGGAGGGGGGAGCTGGGTGTATTACCACCGTGATATAATATACTAAAATGTAATGCAGAGGACTTGCCAAGAGACAGATCAGCTAACTGCAGAGGTAAAGAAGTTAGGGTGAGGAGGACCTGTATATGGACAGAGGAAGTTCAATATGGACAAGTCGACCATGAAGGAAGAGGCACACAAGTGTCTGCAACATGAAGGGGGGTGCTGAGTGTATCTCTCTATGGCCACCACCATATAAAATGTTAATACTAAGTTGCAGTGCACATGAACATGTCGGAGAAAGACCAGCTAACTGCAGAGGTAAAGAGTTTAGGGTGAAGAGGACCTGTCCATATGTAACAGAGGAAGATAGTGGCAAGTCTAGACCATCATGAAGGAAGAAGCACACAGCTGTATTGTGAAAGGCTGTCCAGCAAAGATCTGCAACGTGTTACTACAGAAGTACTGAGGGTTTGTGTGTATTGTCTCACATCAGTAAAAATTCAAACGTCTGAATGGTGACTTGCTAAATTAAATGTTGTCAGAGAGGTTTGTAGGTGATCAGAGACAGATGCACACACTGACCCACAGAGCAGCGATCTGTACAAAGGGGTACATGATCAGAGATGAGGCTGAAGAAAAAAGGACCTGTCAGGGAACAAGCAGCATATAAGCAACCAGAAAAATAAATCCCCTGCACATGCAGCAATTAACAAGTGGGGTGGTGTTGTTGGGGGGT